CGCCGGCGGCCCCGCGGGAGGCGCCGCTCCGGGCCGGGCTCCGCGCCGCGCTTTGCGGGCCGCCCTCCCCCCGCAGTGCGCTGGCGGCGCCGCGCGAGCTGTCAGCGCGGCGCGGGCCAATGGGCGCGGAGGACAACAAGGCATGGAGCACCTCCACATGGGCGCCCCGCGCCGCCGCCGCCCGCCTTAAAGGCGCCGCGCCGCGGCCGGGCGGGGCCGGGACCCCGCGGGACAGAAGCAAAAGCGAAAGGAGCGGGCGGGGGCCGCGCGCTGCGGGCGCGGTGCGGCAATGCGAGGCGCTGCGCGCGCGGGGCCGCGCGTCCCGCCCGCGTTCCCTCGGTTCCACGGCGTGGGTTTGCCCCAGGGTTAAGAATGTACCATTATTTTTTGGACGCGCTCGTGATGGAATCGGCTGGAGAGCGTGAAACCTGCGGCTGCAGGGAGCCTGGGGGGAGGGAGGGCGGACTCGGGGATCTCCAGACGTCTCTTTCAACCCCCACGGCTCTGGGACTCGTTGCGGTTGCTTTCTATAAGGAGAAGCTCGGTCAGGGCCGGCCCCGGCCCTGCGCTCCTCCCGCCGCTGCGCGGAGCTGCCCGAGCCGCGTCCGGCCGGTGCGGGGGCAGCCCGAGCCCTCCTGAGCACCGCCGGGAAGCGGGCCGCGGGGGGAGACCCAGCGAGCAGTGCCCGCTCCTCCGGAGCACCTCTAGGAGACAGCTCCGAAGCGCTGACTGCAGTCACCACTGATGTCCGCCGGCCTTCGTGGGGCTCTTTTCTCAGCGCCTTACAAATCTCAACTGAACTTTCTTTATCCGCTTTGAGCCTTTCCATATCGAGTATCTGCTTGTGACTGACTTCATTTTGGAACTGGGAGAAGGTACCGAAGTCAAGGAAAATAAAATGAATCAGCAAACATAATGGGAGGAATGGGATTGGAAAACAACCATTTGCAGGAGATATTTTTCCTTCTGTATAAAGAACTTTAATTTACCAACCCACAGCTGTCCTGCAGGACGCTAAGGAGGCAAAGCTCAGTGCAGGGAGCCCTGACCATGCTCCTGGAGCTGGGGGTCACCTCTCCCAGGTGAACTCGTGGTGCCCACGAGCCCTTGGACACACTGTTGTTGTGAGCGCTGATGCCCGCAGTGCCGGCGGAGCTCACCTGGTGCCAGCAGCTGCTGGGGATGGGTGCTGCACAGCTCCGCTCCTCCACTCTCCTCCAGTCACCCCGCAGCTCCTGCAATGAATGGAGCTGTATCCGTCCCCCAGCCCAGCTCAGAGCACAGCTGCAGCAGTGTGGCGTGACACCAGTACAGTCATACAATCATAGAGTCATTAAGGTTAGAAAAGACCTCTAAGATCATCGAGCCCAGCCCACCCCACCATGCCCTCAGTGCCACATCCCCATGCTTCTGAACACTTCCAGAGGCGCTGATCCCACGGCTCCCTGGGCAGTCTGTGCCAGTGCCTCCCCAGTCTGACACTTGAGTGAGCAGCACGCTCAGACAAGATAGCAGAGCAAAAGGTGCCTCTGGCTGCCTGGGAGGAAAGCCCCAGCTGGGACGGGTATTTGTGGCAGGCTTAGCTGGAGGTGCGGGCTGCAGTCTGCAGCACAGTTGTAAGCAATAAGTGTGACAGCACACACATTTCTCCAACCACTGCTCTCTTTTCTTTCCTACCATGCGTAACCCTACAGACCACACGGGTTTACAGAAGGTTCTTCTGGAAGCCCCCGTTCTCCAAAGGGATCACAGTGCTGCCACCAAACTCACCCTGACTCCTGAGGCAGCAGCCAGGCACCGCAGCCCTCCTGCTGATGGTACCAACTTTCCAGCAGGTCACACTGTAAAAGTCAGAAACCCACCAATGCCAGAGAAGCTCACTGAAAACACAACAGCCAATGTTCTGAATGGGATACTTGCTAAAAAGCAGCTTTTATAAGAAACTCTTCCAGATATTTTTGAATAGCTGAGACGTGTGCTAACTGTTTTAGGAAACCAAACTTTCTTTCTGGCTGCCTGGGAACATCTCTTGCAACACACTGACCCCAAGGAGTTGTTTGTTCTGAACCTTGAGCTCAGAAGGCTCCTGGCTGCTGAGCCAGCTCCCAGCTTTGGCAGCTGAAGGCACAAATCAGCACCATTAAGCATTCATAATGTGGTGACGTTTCCTGATTGAAGTCGCTCACTGCAAACTTTCGGAACTGCCCGATGGAGCAGTGGGAGCACAGCCAAACCCCATCAGCTGGGTATTCATCTGCTGCTGGAGGACTGCACTGAAAGGTTTTCAGTGAATCATTTGACCCTGTTATTAGGGACAGCAGTAAACCAGAACATGTGGATTATTTGGACCGACTTTGTGAACACTTGGGGAACTTAAAACCTTGTGCATGTGCTAAAAGCAACAGGAGGACGAATTTCTCCCCCATTACGCCCCACGCACACACAGAGAGGATGCGGGGCTGTACACACAGTGCTGCAGAGCAGTCAGACTGTCAGGGCTGAGGATGACAGTTTGCTCTGAAGTCAGACCAGTTTCTCCCCACAGGCAGAACGGCCCCCTGGGTGCCAGCCTGGGCTGCTCGGCTCTAGGGAGCACCTGCAGGCTGCCAGAGCTTCCCACAGGGAGAACTGAGGCTCGTACAGCGAGACCTGCGGCACACCAGGATTGGCATTATATAGTTCAATGGCTTTAGATTTCTTTATATATATCCAACCACCTCATAACCTGGACATCACACCTCGTACCAGGGACATGCTGTGCAAATCTGGGGGAGCAACTGCAGCACAGCTTAAGTCCTGACAGCCTCCTTTCTCCCATGACTCTGCCTATGTCCTTCCCATCTATGCAGCAAACAGCTCCTTCCACAGACCATCTCCTGAGCCGTGCATCATGTGAGCTTTGATATGCTCACTCCTCGCAGTGCTCACGCAGCCTTTCCCCCGCTCAGGACCCCCTGCTGCACTTCCTGCAGTGAGGAGCCCGGAGCAGCGTGGGGCTGCGGGAGCAGCTGTGGGGCCTGCAGTGCTGGCACCGGGTGCTGCAGGTGGGGAGCGGCCGCTGGGCCCCACTCTGCTGCCAGCGCCTGCCCCGACACCGCTGCCTGCTGCAGCCACGGGCAGAGCGCTGCCTGCTGCCGGGCCTCGTGGCTGTGTCATGGGATTCACATCAGACAGAAGCTTTGTAGAATACTGTGTCGACGCTGTTCTTTTTAGAAGAAAAAGCAATGCCTAAATGGGAGCTTTTTACTACAAAGATGCTAAGTCACATCCCAGCCAAAAAGACTTTTACTTAAGCTGAAATGCAGCTGATTTTAGAGCAACTTAGATAATGTAAGCTCATTCTGTGTCTTTTAAAGCCCCAGCTAAATCACTTTCCAAAGTTAAGTAATTTTCACTATTCCTACCCTTTATGAACTGTGAACGAAATTAGCTGAGCAGCTCAGATACGGCTTTGTGCCACATCAGCTGAGCACTCACAACCTCAGGTTCTCCGCTCTCACCGCTGTAACAGTGCTGCTTTCGGTGGCTGCTGGCTGTCCAACCATGCACAGCACTGCCCACGGGGCTCAGCCGCTCTCCTGGCGCTCCAGGCCCCACTCCTCAGCCCCAGCTCAGCACAGCCCCACGTGCAGCACGCAGCAGCCCGGCGCGGAGCAGGAGGCGCAGCACCGCGGGCTGGGGAACGCGGGGCTGGAAGTGCTGGAAGTGCTGGAAGTGCTGCTCAGGGCCTGGGCTGGGGCCGAGCAGAAGTGATGGTGCGATTCTGTCATCTTCTTTTTCAGAATATGCGGTGGATAAAAAATTACACGGTACTCACATGGAAGGTGGAGCTTACCTCAGTATTTTCACTCTGAGGTTTGTGTTGAATTAAAAACAAAACAAAACAAAAACCAACGGCTCGGGTGGAAATAATGAGTCCTCCTTCTCGACAGAAACACGCCGACTTTCTTTGCCATCATTCCATCTACGGCGTTAATGACGCCGGATCCGGGCAGTCCCCGTCTGTCAGCACGAGGACGGCCGCCATCGGCTGCCGCACTCCCGGAGCTCCGCATCCCGGAGCGGAGAACCGCGCGCCCTCCCGCCCCGACCCGCGGCATCTCCCCGCTCCCGCCGCAGCGCCGCGGCTCCCGCTGTCCGCGCTGACCCCGGCGCAGTGCCGCCTCCCGCCGCTCGGGGGCGCCGCAGCCGCGCGGCGCGGTGAGAACGGGCGGGGCGCGTGCTGTAAAGCAGCGGCGCTGCGGCGGATGTTGCGAGGGCTGCTCCGAAAGTAACGCCTCCCGTTTCACCCCGTTGCCCCGCGCTGTCGGTGGGCGGATGTCGGTGCGATGGAAGCAGAGCCGAACCTTCCCACCGATATCCCGTTACATTTTGTTGCCGTGCGACAGACGGCTGCAGAGGGGCTGACACAGGGGCGTGTGACGTGGAAGTGCACATGGAGCAAAGCCGTGGAATTGAATTCCTCCATGCAGAGAAAGAGGCACCCACTGACATTCAGTGATGCTTGTGAACGCTGATGGAGATGAACTGTTTCTGTCTGAGACTTATATGCAGCACTGGAGAGATCTGCATACATCCTATTGGTCCCTTAACGGCAAACACAGTCGTGGGGCTGCAACTAAAATAAAACCAGCTGATCCAA